GCGGGATCTTAGTTCCCTGACCAGGGATCAGACCCGTGGCCCCTGCATTGGAAGTGTGGAGTCCTAACCACTGGACCTCCAGGGAATTCCCTAGCAGTGTCTTTAAATAGGATCCGTTAGGTCGTAAGTGATTTTTGAAAAAGAAAAGAAAAAGAAAAAAAAAAGAAAGCCATGAATCAGCCCAGAGTTTATTCCTCACAAAACAGGACAGACCCTGATTTTCCACAGGCCTCCTTATTTTGTCATTTCTCCTGTAAAATACCCAGGAGAGTTGAGCATTCTGATGTGGGTCATTGGGCTGGGCCTACTGCCTGGTACAAGAACCTCATCTCTCATGGACCTTCTCACTGTGAATTTGGGAAACTAAAACAAATGCCTATAAAAATAACAGCAATAATAATTATTCTGGTGACACAGACAACTATATTTTATTTTATTTATTTATTTATTTTCCAGTACACGGGCCTCTCACTGCTGTGGCCTCTCCCGTTGCGGAGCACAGGCTCTGGACGCGCAGGCTCAGCGGCCATGGCTCACGGGCCCAGCCGCTCCGCGGCATGTGGGATCTTCCCGGACCAGGGCACAAACCCGTGTCCCCTGCATCGGCAGGCGGACTCTCAACCACTGTGCTACCAGGGAAGCCCGACAACTATATTTTAAATTGCTTTCCCTTTTTTCTAAGAGTGGGATAAGCAGATTCTTACTGTAGATTGGAAGTTAATATTTGAAATGAAACTAATTTGGAAAACAATAATACATTATGCTTTTTATCTATTGTTAGTGGAAAGATTGTTCTGCTTAAAGCTGCTAGAGAATATACTAGTCCTAAATACCAAGATGTGGATCTTAAATACAAAAAAAAAAAAAAAAAAAAAAAGGCGCTACATGCAAGATGCTCAGCTTTGAAAACTCATAAAACTTTAAAAAAAAAAATCTAACTTAAAGTTCCTAACCCACAGGTAACAACAAAGCAAGATCATATAACAAGAACTGGGTTATTTATTTGTGAGATTAAAAGTAGCTAAAAAGCCCTCTGAAATGTCACTCTTGCCTTGATATACATTTAGAGTGGCTTTGGGAATACCCTTTATGCATAAGACAAAGTCCAGATTGTTACTGGTTTCCTCTGTGTGGAAGATTAAATTACATACTACGGCTAAAAAGCAGAACTTTCCTGAACAACTACTTGGTTCATAGATGCTGGTTTCCATCTCCAATAACATTAATTCCCATCCAATTCAACTTGAGACTGTTTATGGCCATCACTCAGGAGCCCTTCACTGGGCATTCATTGCATGCTCAATGCTGTACCAAGTGCACTTAGCTTGGCCATTGAAAGAAAACTACTATTGACTGCTGAATCATTTAGGCAGGCAGTGTGACTTGTTAAGAGGCATACACTTCAGAGGCTGGGGAAGAAAGCTGCAAAGGAGGTTAAACAATGGAGAACTATACTAGTTCACACTTGAATGTGAACAAAATGGTGTAGGGAGAATTCTAAGTGGGAAATATAAAAGGACAAGAAAGTGGAAAAGGATTTTGAAGTATGTAGATTATAAACGAGAGGCACCAGCAAAGCTTCAAATCGTTTTCAGTGAAGTATCAGGTGGCTTAATGCTATTACACCTCCAATAAATATTCTCCGTGTTCTCTTTGTCAAGATCACCCTCATCCAAGACTGTAAAGATCCTCTTGAATTAATGGAAGCAGAGCTGATTGAAGAAGGACTTGATGTCCAAGATGAGGTATGATCATTATGTTCATTCCAAGAAAATAATTTGGATTAAATAGAATAATTCTTGTAGTATTAAAACTACTTGATAAAAACTATTCAGGGAAAAGAATTTTTTAGAAATACCAAGAGGATGGCTTGATAGAAAGGGGAAAATGGGAAACAAGGGCTCTCCCTTGAAGACATAGTACCTGAGGGGACCTTTTGTCCCAGGCATACAGGCGTGATCAGCAACTGGAAGCAGACAACACATTGGTCCTGATTTTATACCTAAGCCTCCGCATACCTTCTTTTCCAGAGACCCAAGGCCGGTGAGATAGGAGAAAGGTGAATGGAGGGAATTTTTAAACCAGGAGTTTCATAAGCTTCAGAAATAGAATGTGAGCAGTAGGAACCTCATGACTTTTCTTCATCTGACTGATGACAGCTTAAGAAAGAGACTGATTCTGTGTATTTTTGTTGCCACTGGGGCATCAGACTCTTCTAGGAAACTTGACTGAAACTTACAGTATCTGACCGAACTTTGTGGCTCCATCACTCAGTAAAATTGGACCAACAAAAGATCAAAGAATTTTCAAGTTGAAAGATGTCTAGAAATAGTTAGCCCCACATTCTCGGCCATGCAGAAATCTCTCCTACCCCATCCTTAAGGATGTTGTCTCAGCTTTCGTGTGAACATTTCTAGACATTGCCAACCAGCAGCAAAGGGAATTTGCTACATAGTTGAAGTCTCCAAGTGTTAGCTGTGCTTACAAACTGGTTTCACCCTTTCTCTAATAATCATCCAGTGGACTGAGGTCCTTTTGGTTGCCTTCTCTGCACAGTCCTTAAATATTTGAGAGCAGCTTTCATGTTTCCAACAGACTCTATCCTGGGAGAGACTCCTCCAGTTCCCTTTACTGTTCCTCATAGACATGAAATTTGTCAATCCTTCCCTGGTCAAGAAGGGGACATAAAACCCCGGATGGGGTCAACTATGACCTACCTTGATTTCTTCAAGATATTTACATTACTGCAACTTAAGAATGGGTTTATGGGCTTCCCTGGTGGCGCAGTGGTTGAGAGTCCGCCTGCCGATGCAGGGGACACGGGTTCGTGCTCCGGTCTGGGAGGATCCCACATGCCGCGGAGCGGCTGGGCCCGTGAGCCATGGCCGCTGAGCCTGCGCGTCCGGAGCCTGTGCTCCGCAACGGGAAAGGCCACAACAGTGAGAGGCCCGTGTACCACAAAAATAAATAAATAAATAAAAAATAAAGATTAGAGACTATAAAGTATAAGGTGTAGGATAAAGTTTAAAAAAAAAAGAATGGATTTATTTTCATAATAGCTACATCAAAATCTTTGCTTTTACTGAGCAGGGGTTAACTAAAGACTTGGGCATTTTCACATGAACTGTGGTCTAGCTGGGCTCCCCATTTATATTTATATAATTGGTTTTGGCCCTAATGCAGAACTACACATTCTTCTGCTAGATTACAGCTTCCTGGTTCCAGTTTACTGACATTGTTTTGAATACTAAATCTATCATCCAGCATATTAACTATGTAACCCCACTGGGTGCTATATGCAAATCTGGATAAGCAGGACTTCTTTGCTGTATTCCAGGTCCTGATAAAAGTGTTGAAAAGAATAACACTCAAACCCCAATGATAAAATCAGGCAGTGAGGATGACAGGCAGAGAAGATTTTTGTGGAAGAACTACACTAAGTAGAGTGAAAATCAGGGGTTCCACATTTTAGCCCATCAGCTTGGTGAGGCCAGGAATTTCATTACTGAGCTGTGAAGTCCTTCCAGCTTTAGTAGTTTATGACTATGGATATAGGGCCAACTGAGTTGAGTGAAAACTCATATATCAAAACTGGAACTTAAGAAGTTGCCACACTATATAGAAGTTGTTTTTTCTTTTGTGGTACGCGGGCCCCTCACTGTTGTTGTGTCTCCCGCTGCGGAGCACAGGCTCAGCGGCCATGGCGCACGGGCCCAGCCGTTCCATGGCATGTGGGATCTTCCCGGACCGGGGCACGAACCCGTGTCCCCTGCATCGGCAGGTGGACTCTCAACCACTGCGCCACCAAGGAATCCCTAGAAATATTTTTGATGTCACATAAAAGCATCATTCAGGTAGGGTCCCTGTAGATAGGGAAGCAGTTAGAGTGGTTTTCAGGGCCTGGGCTTTAGAACCAACAGACTTGAGTGCTGGCCCTGATTCTGCAACTTATCAGCTGGGTAGCTTAGGGCAATTTACTTATCCTGTCTTCATTTTAGTTTCTTCCTGTAAAATAGAAATAATAATACCTCACAGAGTTGCGACCGTTAACGGGTACATGTGCAGGAATAAAACAGTGTCTTGTACATAGTAAGTACTCAAGAAATAGTAATTATTGTTTTTAAAATACATCCAATTAAAGTATGTTGAGGTACAAAATTAAGTTTTTACCCTACTTTTACTGTGATGCTATACACCTAAGTAAATGTAAGCAACCAACACTACACAAACATATTTGCAAAAAAGATAAGGTAGACTTAAGGAGAATTCAGTTGCATCAACACTGTTTCCCCTTTGCCTCCACAGGCTATGCGAAGACTTGCTTCCTGAAACTGGGCTCAGGAGGTTGCTCTAAGCAAGGACTGCAAGGCAAATTTTACCCACCACGTAATTCTATGCAAATATTTTCTGCATCGACTATTTTCTTCAAACTTGAAACACTCATTCTTTTCCATTAGACTTTTTAAAATCTTTGATTTTTTTTTTAACCTCTTAACTACTGAAAGAAAAGCACTAAGATTGTTTCTAGGCTTTATTTATAAAATGAGTAACTTACTTCTAAAATGTGCCAAATGGTGAAGAAAAATATTTAGCAATGTCCAGGATCTGAGAATATTATGCTGCTGTTCTCCAGGACAGATCTGCTGACAGTGTTCATGTGGGTACACGTGTACCTCTGTGCAGCTGGCGCAAGTGTCACCCAACACAGCCTCTGTGGGCAGGCGGGTGAGACAGGAATGATTATCCTATAGAAAAATCTATTTCTGACTGACCTTGATACCCATGAGCTAAACTGATCACAGTGAGTAAAGGTTGAAATAAAATTGTTAATGTACTTACCAATAAATACCTTTAAAAACTCCCTTTTGTAAATGCATCAAAAAAAATTTTTTTAATGCAAATTTGGTTAGTACTTAGTAATGTAGTATTACTCTATGTGACCAGATATGTAACCAGAATTCAGAATAAAGGAAATGGTTCACTTAAAAGCTATAGAATTGGGCTGATACATTTTAGAAACACTGACTCAGAGAAGTGAAATGATAAGATTACTGTGGTTTATAGAAATCACTTTTTGATGTAATAATCAAGGATCACAAATAAGATCTAGTAAAACATATGGCACTATCTTTAGTTGAAAAATGCAGTTTTAATTTATCTTATAGAAATGGTCATTGTGTAGAGTATATTTAAGTATGGTCTATTTAAAATCTAACATAAAATTTGTGTTATTTTGAACAAAAATCAATTTTGATGTTTATAAGACCATGGTGATTAAAACAAGTTTATTTTTTCTTTAAAAATTTAGCATTATGTGAAGTGATCTTTAACTGAATTCTAAATATCTTCCAAAAAACATCTAAAAAGTGAACTGCTTATATATATATATATATATATACACATGTATATATATACATATATATACTGATTGAGACAAAACATTCTAAATGAACTCAATATCAAAGGTAAAAAGTTGGTTTGGAATACACACATTGAAAGTATATGTTTTTAAAACTCCATATGTTAAGCCCCAAAATAATTTTTACTGAACCTTTTCTGAGTACCAACAATTTTCTAGGCATTGTATATAATATTTAGGCTTTGGTCCTGTGGACTAGTCCCATGTATTTCACGCTGGAGTGAATGAAGTTGTACTTCTAGAGAAAAATACTCAGGTCCTCAACTGAGGCAATGTCTTAAGTTGACAGAGAATTATATTGCACCTTTGGCACAGATGTGTGAAATTCCCAAATGTGTTTGGCTGTCTAAAGGCAGCATGTCTTATCTCTGTTTTTCTTCTTAAATACTATCAGAAATAAAGTCTCTATCTACTTCTGCAGGAATATCATTAGTGATCATATCAAATTGGTTGACTAAAAGCATTATTTTCCTCCCTCCATCCCCATACTACATACCAGAATTTCAGTGAGTTGCAGTGGATTGTGATGTTATAATAGTCTTTTATGCTCATGGGTTATACTGTCTTTAATAGATGTGGAACAGATTTCTCTCTATGTTTGGTACAGCATAACCAGGATTATAATGTTATCTCATTTTTACAGTAATACCTGCCTATAATGGCAACAAATCATATCTCTAAAGAGTGAATATAATAGTCTTGCAGAAAATGGATGAATACCTCTGTTTAATAGAGGAAATACGCACTGCTCTTTTTTTTTTTTTAATTAGTTGAAGGAAATATCAAAGTTACATTTTAAGGCTAGAGTTTTGTAAAATCTTGGGTCCATTTGTGGCTGTATAAGACCACAGTCTTTGACTTGTTTCCCGAGCAGACTCTAGTAATACTGTCTCTTTCATGCATTTTGTGAATAGTAAACAGACTTTTAATTCTATATTGTCAATGGAAATTTTACTTGAAATTAAAGCTTTTGTTATGTTTTTAACCTTGAGGATAAGATTCCACTATTGTATATGAAAAGTGAAAAAAATCAAATCATGTACACTTGGAAATATTTGCACATATTTTTTTTGAAAAGTAATGTTGCCTTTTAAGCTATTCTGATGTGTCGCTTCCGAACAAACTATTAAATATAATAAAAATGGCTAAATTTAAGTGTTCCAGTACTTTTTTTTAAATTGGGGTATAGTTGATTTACAGTATTATATTAGTTTCAGGTATATCATATAGTGATTCAAAATTTTTATAGATTATACTCCTTTTAAAATTATTATAAAATATTGGTTATATCCCCTGTGCTGTACAATATATCCTTGTAGCTTACTTATTTTACTTTATTTATTACTTTTTTTATAATGTAATAAAAAAATTTCTTTCTTATTTATTTATTTATATTTGGCTGCATTGGGTCTTTGTTGCTGCGCACAGGCTTTCTGTAGTTGAGGCCAGCAGGGGCTACTCTTCGGTGTAGTGTGCATGCTTCTCATGGTCATGTCTTCTCTTATTGTGGAGCACGGGCTCTAGGCATGTGGGCTTCAGTAGTTGTGGTGCGTGGACTCAGCAGTTGTGGCTTTTTTTCTTTAAAGCGCAGGCTCAGTAGTTGTGGTGCATGGGCTTAGTTGCTCCGCAGCACTTGGGATCTTCCCAGACCAAGGCTTGAACCTGTGTCCCCTGCATTGGCAGGAGGATTAAGACTTGACCACTGCACCACCAGGGAAGTCCGCTTATTTATTTTATACATAGTAGTTTGTACCTCCCCTACTGGTAACCACTAGTTTGTTCTCTGTATCTGTGAGTCTGTTTCTGTTTTGTTATATTTGTTTTATTTTTTATATTCCACATATAAGTGATAACATACAGTTTTTGTCTTTCTCTGACTTATTTCACTAAGCATAATACCCACCAGGTCCATCCATGTTGTTGCAAATGGCAAAACGTCATTCTTCTCTATGGCTGAGTAGTACTCCATTTTATATGTGTGTGTGTGTGTGTGTGTGTGTGTGTGTGTGTGTGTGTGTGTATACACACATACCACATCTTCTTTATCCGTTCTTCTGTTGATGGACAGTTAGGTTGCTTCCACATCTTGGCTATTATAAATAATGCTACTGTGAACACTGGGGTGCATGTTATCTTTTCAAATTAGTGTTTTCACTTTCTTGGGATATATATTCAGCAGTGGGATTGCTGGATCATATGGTAGTTCTAATTTTAGTTTTTTCAGTAGCCTCCATAATGCTTTCCACAGTGGCTGCACCAATTTGCATTCCCACCAATAGTGTAAGAGAGTTCTCTTTTCTCCACATCTTCACCAACATTTGTTATTTGTGGTCTTTTTGATGATAGCCATTTTCACACGTGTGAGGTGATATCTCATTGTGGTTCTGATTTGCAATCCTCTGATGACTTAACGATGTTGAGCATCTTTCCATGTGCCTGTTGGCCATCTGTATGTCTTCTTTAGAAAAATGTCTGTTCAGTTCTTCTGCCTATTTTTTGATTGGGTTGTTTGTTTGATATTGAGTTGTATGAGCTGTTTATATATTTCAAATAATAACTGCTTATCGGTCATATCATTTGCAAATATATTCTCCCATTCAGTAGGTGGTCTTTTCATTTTGCTGATGGTTTCATGTGCTGTGCAGTGTGTCAGTATTCTTTTTTTTTTTTTTTTTTTTTTTTTTTTTGCGGTACGCGGGCCTCTCACTGTTGTGGCCTCTCCTGTTGTGGAGCACAGGCTCCGGACGCACAGGCTCAGCGGCCATGGCTGACGGGCCCAGCCGCTCCGCGGCATGCGGGATCTTCCTGGACCGGAGCACGAACCCATGTCCCCTGCATCGGCAGGCGGACTCTCAACCACTGCGCCACCAGGGAAGCCCCAGTATTCTTTATTAGTCATCATTTTGATGTATTCTTCATAGCTCTACTTCCATTTCTGTGTAATTTCTTTTTGAAAAGACTTACTCATGCAATAAACAATGTTACTCACAAATATCTCCATTCAATCTTGTAATTTTACCCAAATATTTCCAGCTTATTTTGTGCAACGATTTTCATTATTTTAAGCAAACTTTTCTTTCTGGTACAACATGCACATCAAAATGATACAAAGTATAGTGTACTGCATGAAGAATTTTCACAATACAAGCACATCAGTGTAGCCAGCACCCAGATCAACAAGCAGGAAATAACCAGCATCCCAGAGGCCTTCTCATGCTCCCTTCCAGTAATTGCCCCAATGGATAATTACTGTGCTGATTTCTAACACTTGTTCTTTGAACTTTGTATAAATGGAATCAAAATGGAAAGATTTCGGGTTTCCCTGGTGGCGCAGTGCTTGAGAGTCCGCCTGCCGATGCAAGAGACGCGGGTTCGTGCCCCGTTTCGGGAAGATCCCACATGCCGCGGAGCGGCTGGGCCCGTGAGCCATGGCCGCTGAGCCTGCGCGTCCGGAGCCTGTGCTCCGCAAATAGGAGAGGCCACAACAGTGAGAGGCCCGCATAACGCAAGAAAAAAAAAAAAAAAAAAAATGGAAAGATTTCTATCAAAGTAGGAAAATTATTTCTCTTTTTTCCCTTTCTCTTTTGTGTCTGTCTCCTTTCACTCAATATTACAAATGTAAGATTCATCCATGTTATTGCATATTGCAATCATTCATTAATTCTCACTGTTATATGGTATTCCATTGTCTGAATTTACCACCAGTTATTTATCCATCCTACTGTTTATGGATATTTGGGTTGTTTCCAGTTTTCGGCTTTCATGAATAGTGCTGCTATGAACATTCTTGTTATTTATTTATTAATTTGGTAAACATATGCACACAATTCTGTGAAGTATATACCTAAGAGCAGAGTTGCTGGGTCATATACATACATTCTGTTTCAGTAGACACTGCAGTAGATAACTA